CGAGCTAATGGCGCAGGACAAGGCTTCCGCACGGGTTTGTCACGTTGGAGATGCCTCGCGGGCAGCTAGAGATAAGCTTTGTCTGGAGCAGTTAGTGGGGTTAAGGGGAAACCCAAAAAGAACAAAAGGGATCAAAATCCGAAATCATACTCCGCGTGACATTCTATTATACTCCAATTTTCAATGTGATTACGGTGTCCTCTTCTAGCAGTGATGCACATCTCGCTAGGAGAAACAAATAGGGATTGTGTTGATAGCTGCTGCAAAACTGCTTTGAAAGGATGCGGTATGTGATAGAGTCACACTATACTGGTTTTAATTCAAAGCATTGTGTGAACTGTGAAAAAACCAGTCTCCAGACAAGGGTTAATGAAACAACAGTAAGCACCGAACCCCCGATTCCTCTGTGTAACAACTCTCAGTGGTCAGTATGAAACACTAGCATAGTTCTTCATGAAGAACTAAACCGCATGGAACATGGGAGAACACACAACTGCATATTACATTCAATTAAAGGGTTCAGGCATTTCCAAATGGAAAATACACTTCTAGGGCCTATTCCCAGGTGTTTGTGGAAGAGCTGAACTCAAAGTTCAGCCACAACCGACTAAACTCTGCTAATCCAGTGCACCGTCCTCTTCCCCGATAGAGCAGAGTCCAGGACAGACTGGCAAAATTAAGCTTTCCTCCTGCCTTTCCACTCATTTGCCCTTAGTCATTCCCTTTCTCCTTGATTTTATTCACCCCCCCCATTCAAATAAGTATTGGGTTTTTTGGTTGTGGGTCTGGTTTTTTTTAACAGAAACTTTGTCATTAGGTTCTATTAATTGTGTCTTACTATGTATAGAACTTACGTATAGACTACATAGCTGTAACATAATACATCTATAGTATGCATAATAAATATATAAGAATAGGCGAGGCTAAGTCTTTAGTCATACTAGTCAATGTACAAGTGTGTAGCTTCAGTGATCCTTTTGTCAGCCCCCTCGAGCCACACCAATACACCTTTTAGCTCATTCCATTCCCACTAGCCGATCTACTTGCCAGTAATGACAGTAGCATCATCTAACCGCAGAACCTTAGCATCTGAACTCCTCTGCCCGTGCAGACACTAACCAAGAACCGCTTCCTCTCATCAGATTCTTGTCCCTTTAGAACTGCTGTTGCTTCTCCCTAAAGGGGTATGTGAGCCAGAAGTTGATAGCCTTGCAGCATCCAGACCTTCCCATCTTTTTCTCATTGAGGAAGAGGAATCGGGTCCTGATCTTAAGAGTTCTTAGAAGCTAACTTCCATTGGCACCAAGCTGAAATACACCAAACTTGACAAGAAGCATGGGCTACCTGCAGAAGTCTTGCTGGTTCATGCAGCTTGGAACAACAGATTAAGTGATAGCCGTGTCATAAACGCATTGCTCTGCCTCCCTGCTGTGGCCATGGAGGAAATAGGGATTGACCAACACTGTAAGGAATGAATCACCTACAGATCTCCTTCTGCTTCTTTTCTTTCATGACCACTTTCATAATTCCTTTCACTTCCCAAATTCGAAGACACCTCTATTATTAGAAATGGAAGTTTATTCCTCTCATCTAAAGTGTTTTCATACATTTGTACTTTGATAATCATAATGTGTTTTTGCAAAGTGAATCAATGACCCCAGTTACCAGGCACACTTCATGGTGAGAAGGAAGACAATTCCATGTTCTAACTGAGCCCTTCAATTGCTCAATCGAAGGTATATTTTCTGAACTTCCTTAATTAAATTGTCCTCCTACACTCTTCTGAAGTGCATAGCTTCAGCTTTCCTGTTCTACAGCCTGTTCCTCCTAAACAGAACAGCTTCCTGACGTTTTCTTTTGTCTGTGCCTTTTCTACTCTGGTGTAGATTCCATCATATTAAACTTTAAGTCTTTCAAAAGACACTTTATGCATCTCCTACAATTCAATTTTCAAACTTGTAGAAGATCTTTATATATCAGACAAAAAGCAATTTTTCTTTAACCCATGTAGAAATACGGTAGCATTAAAAATGTCAACTGCACATCCTAAAATTTGGTGTCCTTGAAGTCTCAAAATTCAGCTTGAAACACTATTAAAATTGGCACCGTAGAATTCAGTGTCTTTGTGTCTCCTCTCTACTTAATTTCACTAATAAACTGAAGTGGAATTGGAGGAAAGGTCCACACACAGATAAACAGCCATGAAAAGGGTAGAATTTAATGTTTACAGTGAAGCTTAGAAAATATTTGTGCTTGTGCCTGCCTTGCTCAGCACACACACAAATGAAGTAGAAAAGATGACAAATAGTGAAGCAGAGGCCATTTGTTAACAATATTCGTTAGTCAGGGTCATTAAGATAACAGGTCATTCATTACACAGGGCTACAGAAGCTCTCAAGGTCAGTACACTTTCTGGCCGGGTACTGAGTTCCAGCAGTCATTTCAGACAAATGGGAGATGATGTACATGAGCAAGGGGGAACGATTGGTTTTTGTTAACATATACAGTGGTGGAGCTAGAGTATGTTGGTGTCCTCAACATAAAAAGGACATGGAGCTGCTGGAGCAAGTCCAGAGAAGGGCCACGAGGACGATAAGAGGGCTGGAGCACCTCCCGTATGAAGACAGGCTGAGAAAGTTGGGGCTGTTCAGCCTGCAGAAGAGGAGGCTGCGTGGAGACCTCATAGCAGCCTTCCAGTATCTGAAGGGGGCCTACGAGGATGCTGGGGAGGGACTCTTCATTAGGGACTGTAGTGGTAGGACAAGGAGTAATGGCTTCAAACTTAACCAGGGGAAGTTTAGATTAGATCTAAGGAAGAAGTTCTTCACAGTGAGGGTGGTGAGGCACTGGAATGGGTTGCCCAAGGAAGTTGTGAACACTCCATCCCTGGCGGCGTTCAAGGCCAGGTTGGACAGAGCCTTGGGCGACATAGTTTAATGTGTGGTGTCCCTGCTCATGGCAGGGGGGTTGGAACTAGGTGATCTTAAGGTCCTTTCCAACCCAAACCATTCTATGATTCTATTGTTCTAAATGCATCTATGAAAACGTCAGTTTTATGCAGCAGAGCCCAAAAGCAAATCAGTTGTTCAACAGTTTGAGGAAAGAAAAAATAATAAAATGGCAAATACCATTATCCTACACTATAAGCTGTGGTGCACTCATGTTTCAGTTTCCCTCCTCTTCCTCATCTCAAAGAGGATGAGGTAGACAGGGTACACAGAGGGCCAGCAATCTGATCAACCACTTAAGGCTGTTCTGATCAAAGAACAAATAGACTTTTCTCCAGTGGGGGAGAGGTGTAGAGGGAAGTCCCTATGATAGAAATGAGGAATGGATGGGACTGGAACATCCTATGATAGTGCCTGAAATAGGAATCTGTAAAAACAAGAGTGGCTCAGGAAGGTCCTGTGAGGAGGCGATTGCCAGAGATTGGATAGATTCAAACTAGGTGCCCAAAGGAACATTTCCAATGTCCTTGGGGCTCCCACCTGGCATTCAGCTACCACTCCAGAACAGCACAAGGCTCTCACAGGTGCAAGACATGCATTTGCCAGCCTCAGGAGGATCCCTCAAGTATTCTAGGTCACCTGAAATAGCTCTAAATGTCAATGATTAGGCAACAGAAAAGAAACCGCTTGTGAGGTAGCTATCACTGGCAGCTGCAGGAGACAAGCTGCCAGTGCTGAGGTTAACCCATGGTCACAAAGCTGACATAGACCCCAGCTAGCCCCAGATGAGCCGCACCATGCTGGGTACTCACACCAAAATCATCACTGTGGGCAGGGACCACAATGACACAGCTTCACTGTCTCTGGGACTGAGTCAGTTTATGCATTTCTTTACAGCACTGTGCCTCATAATGTAGACACTGCATAAAGCTAAATAGTAGCACTACTAAAAACAAAGCTTCTGGTGCTTGTCGCAATGGAAACTTCATTCGAAGGTGTCATGGTTGCAGACATGACTGAATGTATGTAGAAATAAGATACTTCAAAAGAGAAAATCCAGGCATGGGTTATATTTTTACAGGTGGGTAAAAATTTCTCCCATGATTTACTCCCAGTAAATCTAAGTAGCAGAATATACCATACCACATCACTGCAATTCTGAAGAATATTATGGTTAAAAACGTCTAGCGATAGTTGCAGCAGTCTTTGCTTTTTCTCCCTTATACAGTATTCTCACCAACCAAGAATTTTACAGTCTGATGCTGTCAAAAAAGTTGCTGCAAACACAGATGTTTCTGCAATGTGGGAGAATGATTTGCGCCCTATGCTGATAGAACGATACTCAGGATCACCAGGAAATTATATCGTACGACAGGTAAGGCAACACCTGCTATTTATATTCCGGTAGTGCCTTTAGTGACTGCTAGAGGGACAGACACATTCACTTCACTTGGTAAAACACACTATCATTGCTCAAGTCCAGATTGCATAGAGCCTACGTGACACAGCTTGCACTCCACCTGACATTTCCCAGGGCTGCACAGCATGATGAAAGAAAACCCCACCCCAAAATCTGTTCTTAAATTTATGTTTTAAATTGAAAACCTTGCCTCAGGTTTGGTAACCAAAGCACAACACAACCGTTGCCCTTTTCCTCACACAAGCAGGTTTTTGGTCACTGGTTCAAACCCTTTGGGACCATATACAGGGATGAAATAAATGACACCCAACTGCCCTTTTTCCGTAGAGGTGCTGTGCTGTTACACTGCCCTGCAGTGTTGCTTCAGATGGGTGCATCAACACAGAAAGGGACCAGAGAGGCCCAGATGGGTAGGCAGGTGAAAAATGACAAAGTGCAGCAGTGCTCCAAGTACCACACCAGCTCTGCTGGCCCAGGCCCAGCAGTGACTTAGCACTGGGCTAAAATATCCAGACTGTACCTGGCCCCAAGCCAGTAAAAGCTCCAGCACATTGTATTTGAGCCACAGGGAGTTACCACATGACCAGGTTGCTGCTCTGCACTCATAGCATGGGCATCTTCATGTGCCATGCTGGCTCTGGATTACATTATCCAAGTGGGAGTCTAAACAGTGGTACAGCTGAGTTTGCCGAAAGACATTGACACCATCTCACTGGCCTTCACCTACTCTTTAGGCAGTGACTCAACAGCTCCAAGGCAGCCCTAACTACAATAAGATTATTTGCCACTCTGCAATTGGTAGACTGGGAAAATGTAGCTTTTTTATGCTTTGTGTGTGTGCGTACACACGTCTCCATGGTTCTGTGGTTTCTTTAGCGATACCCTGGAAGGCCGCCAAGTGAAAGGGGAAAG